GGTTGCTGATGTGTATTTCTATTTTCTGATTTGACCTTCTCAACTCTAATCTTATTTCTTAACTTCTGCTATTTTGAGTTCAGTATTAATTTTGGGAAATTATGATCATTGATTTGAAATATTTCCTTTATTATATTGTAGCAATTAAAATGTGTAAAATTTCTGTTCACTACTCTTTTCCGTCCCTAGTTCTTTTATTATTTATTTTTCATTTCATCTCTTTGTGGTCAGTGCATATATCTACGTGATTTCAGTCCATCTATATTTTATTAGACTTGTTCAGTCTAGTACTTGGGTATCATGAAATGCATTAATGCACACTTGAGAGTATATATTTTGCATTTTTTATTATATTGTTCTTTTGTGGTATATGTGTGTCTGTGTCTGTACGACTTCCCGTACCTTGTCTTCGTGCTCAGATACTCTGTCCTCTCCTGCATCCATTATGCTGCTGAGACTTTCCACAGACTTTTTTTTTCATATTTAAAAAAATTATTTTGTATGTCTATAAAGTTATTGGGTAGATTTCAATGGAAATGTTTATCACCTCTACTAATTACCATTGAAACTACCCGATAACTTTATAGATATACACAGGTGCCAAGGATCAAAGTGCAACTGACTGTGACTAGTAATAATCAGATACATACAGATTAGAGACGCATGTGCCAACAGCTCACAGTTAGTAGCAAAAACAATGAGTCATTCTGTAAGGAACAATATATTCTAACTTCCCGTACCTTGTCTTCGTGCTCAGATACTCTGTCCTCTCCTGCATCCGTTATGCTGCTGAGAATTTCCACAGACTTTCTTTTTCATATTTAAAAAAATTATTTTGCATGTCTATAAAGTTATCGGGTAGATTTCAATGGAAATGTTTATCACCTCTACTAATTACCACTGAAATATGATCTGGAGTGTGTTGGAGTGTGTTACTGAACATGTTAAAGCTGTAATGTTAAAAAAACATATATATATTTTGACTTTTTTATTTTTTACTGATTTTTTTGTGTTTTTCATACAGAACCTCTCAATTTTAGAGACGCATGTGCCAACAGCTCAGAGTTAGTAGCAAAAACAATGAGTCATTCTGGAAGGAACTGTATATTTTAAAATGAAATGGAGATCTTTTTTAAAGAGGATGAAATGAAGATCTTCTTTAAAGAGTTAAAACTCATTCAATTTTATATCTTACAGGGTTTATACTAAGTTCAATATTGTATAATGGTATTAATTCAGATGTGAACCTAAAAATTTACAGCCACTTTTGAAAGAGATGCATCCTTGCTCTGGAGTGTGTTGGAGTGTGTTACTGAACATGTTAAAGCTGTAATGTAAAAAAAAAAATTATTTTGACTTTTTTTATTTTTTATTGATTTTTTTTTGTGTTTTCATACAGAACCTTTCAATCTTTTTTTTTAATTGAGATTTAAAAATTTCATACACTCATATCCAGAACTCCTCCCCCATCCATGCCTCCCTGCTGCCACTGAACCCTGTGAATTCTGCCATACATGCTGAGTCCTATTCATTCGGTGTTTATATCCAAATGTCTTTCAGTGTAAATGTGTCCAATGGAGTCTAATCAGCCCATCAGGTGGTCGTATGTAAGTCATACTCTCCCTCACATAGCAGCAACCAGTCTTGATCTAGTGCTGACTGCCACTTATTTCTCACCTCCCCTTTGAGCCCTTGTTTAATTGAGCTGACATGAGTGCCGTGTTGGACACCACCGCTGCTGCAGGCACACATGAGCAAGCCTCCATTGTCCTGGAAGCCTCTACCTCATTTGTTCATGAACCAGCCCTGGCTCTTATAATCTTTCTGCCTCCTCTTGCACAATGAACTATAGGTGGGTGAGGATCCATATAGGAGTCCCATCATACACTCCACAGTCTCTTATTCTCCAAAATTTGGTCAGTTGAGACCTTCTGTGTGTTATGCACTCTGATGTACATGGAATCCTCACTGGTGAGAGTTCAGGGGTGCATTATCCCTCTCTTTACCCCTTATTCTGTGATGTTCCATGAGCCTTGATTATAGGAATTCTACTGCAGATGTGTCACCTAGTAACAGGCATGTCCCAGGTGTACGTTCTCTATGTCTGACCAGATGTGCAACTCTGTGGTAGCCTCCATCTATTGCAAAAATAAGTTTCTTTGATGGGTGATGTATGGATTATTATTTGCTCTAAGGGAGGTCTCTTTTATTTCACACTGTGATCCCTCCATCTTTCCGTTCTTGATATCTGTCCCTCCCCCACACCATGGTCCCTCACATGTAAAAAATATGGAACACTTTAAAAATTTGCATGTCATTCTTGCACAGGAGCATGCTAATCTTTTCTGTATTTTTTCAGTTTTAGTATATGTGCTGTCGAAGTGAGCACTGAATCTCAATCATCTTTATACCCCCATCCCCACTAGCATTCTCCCATAACCCCCACTCCACTGGATCCTATATACTCTATCATCCCTGTTGCTGCCCACTATGTTGTTAGTGTGCCCAGTCGTTCCCCAGTGCAAGTCCATCAGCTGAGTCTAGTCAGCCTACCTACAGTCCCTTGTGTTAGGACAGCTCTTCTTCATCTAGCAGCAATCAGTTGCCAACATTTCTTTAGATAAGATTGTGGTCTTTTCTTCATTATCCCAGCTCTATGCTGAGTTACTGTCTACCTGAGTTTGCATGGGACCTGTGTATGCTGACACCTATGCCATAGAATCATATGAGCAGGTTCAGAGGAGCTTGTAAGATTCTGTTTCTATATGGTCATGCAAATCCTCCCTGGCTCTTACAGTCTTTCTGCCCACTCTTCCTTGATAGCCTCTGAGACTTGGGTGGATGAAGTTTCATAAAGGGGTCTTGTCCAAGGACCATTATTTAGCAGACTTTTGATCTCCACACATTGGCAAAATGAGCTTCTTTAATGAGCGATGAGTGGTGACTGGGATATTTGTCTGTAAATATAAGGATACATGTTTTGCACATAGTAAGAAATCACATTAGTCTAGCGATGTGAGAGTTTTGGGGTTTTCTCTAAGATCTATGACCACTCTGACCATTTGTAGTATGTTATATTATGGTACCACACTTGAGTTTCCTCTCCTTCAGTGGACTTTTAGTCAAATTAGGTAGCTGTTGATTTCCCCCATTTTAAAAGTGCTACTACATCACCAATGACATAGGCTGGGCTGGCCACAAATATGGTTATTTGTTTTTGAAGCTGGTGTTGGATCATCCATTGATGTTTTCCCTTGGCACTTTCGTAGCATTCTCCAAAGCTATGAGACCTGCATTCAGGGGAAGTGGCTTCCAGATCAGTTGCAGCTCTATTGCTCCAAATCCTGTGTCTGATGTATGCTCTATCTTCAGCAGTGGGGTCCTACCTTCAAGTTCTGGGAGGCCATAAAGGGCTGTGGCAGTAGTCTGAGTAATTTGGGAGTCTCTTGGACCACCCTGGACAACACTCAAAGGAAGGTATCTCCTGTCTGGCACTGTTCCTTGTTATATAGCCTTTAGCTATACACATGGACTCATGTAGAGATAATAAAGGAAATTTAACAAAGAAATAGAAATACAGAGGAAAAGTTCCTAAGAAATGCTGACAATGAAAAACACAAGTCAAATAAATGTTTTTCATTTTCACCATTTCTTAGGGACTCTTCCTCTGTATTTCTATCTCTTTGTTAAATTCCTCTCCAC